GATTAACACGGTGACCAGACCACTGGGAATTACATGATGAAGTGTTTTCACAGGGACAGTACTTATGCATTTTGCTAAGTCCATTTCCAAAGCCATTTCATCAACATCACTTTCAAAACTAAACTACCATAGTTGAAGGATGGAACTTTAAATATACATTTAAACTGTATATTATTTTCAGAATAGATTACAACAACTGAAGGACAGATATTTTTCTTTTTCTTCCTCTTTGTTTAGATGAAGTGTGGTAAAATATTTTACGGTTGTGAAAATGAAAGGGAACATATGCACATATGCCTGCTTCATTAAAAAATCACCTTGCAAAGAAGGTTGAAAACCTTGCAGAATTTTGCATACAGTGATCATAGATTTTCACTATAAGTAAATAAAAAGAAGAGGACAAAGAAGGCATGTTCTGAACTGTGCTGAGTCTTAAGCTCAGGACAGAGGCATTCTAGGGGAAGTGATACACCTGGTATACAGAAAAAATAATGTATAGGATCACAGAAGGAGCCAAACTCGACCTTCATTTGGAAAAGAACTTTGTACCAAACCAGTGTGCACTTTTGCATGAACTAGTGCTTTCTTTGCATGGAACAGCATTTCATAAACCATGTCTAGAGCTGTTCTACATGGCCTAATACAAGAGACACAGATAACCCAGGGAAAAGTACCTTTAGTATTGAGCTGCCTTCTTCCCATACTTTTTAAAGAGCAGTTAGCAATTTCTGAGTGTTGATATATTCTGCTAAGCTCAGTTCAAATTGTTCAGAACTACATAGACAGCAGTCTGATAAAATAAATCTAAATAAGCTTTTTGCACAGAGAAAGATCCCCTGTACTCTTGTGGAACTCAGTGGTTTCAGTGAAAACTAACATAGTTAAATTCAGAATATAATGTAGGAACAAAATACTGAATAGTAATTTTTGGTGTTATGCTAGAAATCTGAGCTGTCGGGGTAGAATTACCTTTTTCAGATAAGGTCAATCTTTGTGGAATAATGTTCTCATCTAAAAAAACTTTGTCTTTATATGCTCCAATTGATTCAGTAAACTTTCTGGCAATTTTTTTGTGACATAATAAAAAATGGATATAATCTGCAGATAATACTAAAGCTTGAAGTGATTCTCAAGCACTGATAGCCCTTGTGATTCATGACTTCTTTCTATTACAGATCCTGACTTCACTTACCTAGGAGGTATTTTAAATCCCATCCCAGGTATAGTATTACATAACAATTTCTTTATACATGAAATTTTAAATTAATGTCATATTGCATTTGACAGCAAGGTCTGTCTTCTCCCTAGACTGCCAGTTTGAGCTCTCAGGAGCTGATGGAATAGTACGTTCCAGTCAAGTAGAACAAGAAGGAAAAACAAAACCAGGACAAGCAGTTGACTGTATCTGGACAATTAAAGCCACTCCAAATGCTAAGGTGAGTTTTGTTGATATAATTCAGTGTATAATGGATTTCCATGGCAGTAGCAACAGGTAATGGTCACTAATGTTGTACTTCACTGAAATGAGGTATGTAGCAGTGGCTTAGGAAATCCAGAGAGAGAATTGTTTCTGAAATTAAATTTTTTAAATATTATATAAGTCCATAGTGTTTCCTGTTATTTGAAGCTTCAAATACCAAATAACTGTGAGAACTGTTTAAGCAACAATTTTCAGGGGCATTTGACTTGGATCCTGGTTTTATTGGAAGACTGCAGGCAAAAATGCTGGCTGACATCTTCAGTAATTTCCAGTAAATCTCACTGCCAAAACTTAATGTTTTGCCTCCAGTGGTTCTATTGGAGAATTTGGTTCTGTTCAAAGTCAACAGAACATGTGCCTGCTCCTCCCATCTAATTCACAGTCCAGCACCTTGAAACCCACTTTCATCAGCAGTCTGAGCTGAATGGAAAGGCTTTCCCTTGTTAGGCAGACAGCAGGATAAAATCCTATTCACAACCCCAAAATACAATAGCTAAAGCCTGAATCATGTTCGTTTCAGAATCATATTTGTTAAATACATTGCACAGAAGAGCACATACTTTTCTCCACAGAGCACACACATCTTTAATTTTGCTTCTGCTTGCACATAGATAAAAATGAAAAAATATTTTGAAGCAGTAGCTGCCAAGATAACAAACCTTCTTACACACTGCTAACACTTAACTAACCAGCCCTGTTAACCACCTTGCAAGTGCATTCTAAAACAGTACCCAAAAAGATGATGAGAGGATAAGTCATGAAAGAAATTAAAAGTCCATTAATATATTTGAGCCTTTGAGGAAGTGAGTCAATTCCCAAAAGCCCCATACTAGTCTAAGTAATAGATGCAGTTCTTCCAGAAACAATAACAAACCCATTTTCTCTCTACATTGCCACTTGAGTGCACCAGGTCTTGTGCTTAAGTATTTTAATAAATTATTGAATGTTGCCAGAAGGCAGAGTTATAGTTGGGTGAGTCCTGAAATTAGATCATCATCCTAAATTATTGATTTAAAACATTACAGAAAAATAATTCTTAGTATTCTGACAGTGGTTTCTCAAGCTTCAATTCAGGCAGAATTATGATGATAAAATCCATTAGATCTGATACAGTGCAGTCTCTTGAGAAAAATAAGCACAGACATTTTTAAATTCCTCAATTTGATTTTGTAATAAAAATAAACTTTTAAAACTGACACAAGTCCAGCAATGAAAGTATTTTTAAAACGTGTATAGCAGACACTTAATAAACTACGTCCAGATTTCATAAAATTACCAGAATAATCAATATAATGTAAGAGTAAGGACCTTTTATACTTGCCTGGCACATTAATCCAAAGGAGCTTGTGAAGAGGTGAGCACTTTTAATGGGATTATTCCTTTGTTATCATACAAATAATAGCTTTACTAAAAATGTGCTAAATTATTTTTGGTTTCCATTGTAATTTTGTAGCAGATATATAAAGTCAATCATTAAAGGAAAATACCATCTCTCAGTGCAAATACTAGCAATTACAGCTCATATCCATGTTTTTGATGTAAGTCATCAGTGGAAAACAGGTTCTCAATGTAGCTGAGAATTTCCAGCAGTAAATCCTAACAAAAACAGCAGGAGGTAAAAAAAAAGGAAAATAGAAAAAAGGAAAAAATACATATGCTGAAAATCACAAAACAATGAGGTGAAGCATGAGCTCATATGGCACTGGCTGCACCTCCAAACAGAATGTGCAGGGGAAGGCAGTGCTGGCCAACCTGCCTCTGGAAGCACTGGAAAGGAAAAGCCACGGGGCACAAGTGTCACCTGTCTTCCTCTTTGCCCATGTTTTCAGTAAAGCCTGATAGGTGTAGGAATGGGGAGGGAATACCTTCTTTTGTCTCTCAGAGGTGGCTGGTAGCGAGCAATGGCAAAGGGGCAGCAAACTGGGTTCTAGAGCCCAAGAGTGGGATTCATCTGCCCTGACCTCCTGCACCCCACCTGAGCAGGGCTCCCAGAGTCCTTGGGCAGATGCACACAGCCCTGTGCAGGGTCCCTGTCCCTGGGCAGATGCACACAGCCCCTGTGCAGGGTCCCTGTCCCTGGGCAGATGCACACAGCCCTGTGCAGGGCTCAGTCCCTGGGCAGATGCACACAGCCCTGTGCAGGGTCCCTGTCCCTGGGCAGATGCACACAGCCCTGTGCAGGGTCCCTGTCCCTGGGCAGATGCACACAGCCCCTGTGCAGGGTCCCTGTCCCTGGGCAGATGCCTCCACCTCAGCCTCCACCTGGGCACATTGCTTCTCTGGCAACAGAGTGGCCATCTAAGAACTGTAAAAGTGTAAAATGGCCTTTGCAGTGTGCTTAAGTGGCTTGGTTTCATATCGCAAAATGTGCAGAATAATTTTGAAAGCTCCACCTGGGCACATTGCTTCTCTGGAAACACAGTGGCTATCTAAGAACTGTAAAATGGCCTTTGCAGTGTGCTTAAGTGGCTTGGTTTCATATCGCAAAATGTGCAGAATAATTTTGAAAATTCCAATACAGCTATTGAAGAATTTCAAAAGCCTTTTGATGTGTTAATGCAATTTTAACTGAATTACAATCTTGCACAAGTTTCCTGCTCCAGCAAAATAAATTATTTACTTCCTCTTTAAATACCATCCCAATCTTCTAATTTCCTTGCTGCATGTGTTCTAATACATATGCTGCCTTCTCTTGGATTAGATTTCTGCTTTTAGAAGTATTAAGATTAGCTTAAATTCATTAATTCTTCCTACACAGCCAGCTTACTTCTCTCTCATTTCCATTTTTATTCAAATTACTCCTGACTTCATGGTTTGTGTCTTCCATAAGACAGCTATGGTTCAGTAATTAGCTTTCATTCTGAAGCAATAAATTTTAATTTCCTTATTTTACTTCAGAGCTTTTCTGACTAGACTCCTTCCCCTATATTTTAACATTGTTTTTATGAATTAGAAGGAAAGGAAAGAGAACAGACAAAATACTTTAAAAATTATTTCAGTACATTTATGCATTCCTTATATCTCTTTCTAGAGAAACAGACTTCACGTTTAGCAGAGCTTCTTGAGGGTTTCTTCACCAAGTGTGTTGCTTTGTAGTGTTTTTCCAAAGTGAGCAGAAATAAAGTAAATTTTAAAATAAAGATTGTTTTGAGGAACAGGGAGAAATGAAACAGATACCCAAGACAAATGTCAGGTAATGCTCCACATGGACATCTAATTAGAAAATCTAAATTTAAAAGTGTTGTGAATTGGGAATTACATTTATGTGTAAGGGAAGAAAACATCTTATCCAAGATTTTCTAAGAAAGAAAACTCTCCTCTCTGTGTTTCTTCTCCTAAATTCCTCTTTTCTAACAGATCTACATGCGATTTCTGGACTATCAGATGGAGCATTCCAATGAATGCAAAAGGAACTTTGTTGCTGTGTACGACGGGAGCAGTTCCATTGAGAACCTGAAGGCCAAGTTCTGCAGCACGGTGGCCAACGACGTGACGCTGCAGACGGGCACGGGCGTGGTGCGCATGTGGGCGGACGAGGGCAGCAGGCTGAGCCGCTTCCGAATGCTCTTCACCTCCTTTGTGGACCGTAAGTACATCCACAAGTGCCAGTTCTCCTGGTCTCAGGGTACTTCAAGTATTTCAGGGAAAGCAGCAGCTGTATATTAAGCAGCAGGAATAGATGGAAAAGGTTGGTTCTGTTTCCTTCACATACTAGCAGGTAAATTAGATAATTGCTTTATTGCATTTCTACTGTGGTTCCTGAAGAAAAGCTTTCCTGCATTCTTAAAAGGTTTATTTTCCATTTCAATTCAGCAATACTGCCCTAGGCTACATCCTCCTCCCAAAGAGACATCCTTCCCTACAAATGAGCACAGACTTATTTCAAAAAGACAGCAGTGGGACTGAGGCCTGCCCCACTAGTGCCCAGTTCCCTGGCAGACAGCACAACAGGCTCCTCTTAAGGCCACTCTGGATGTTCAGAAGAGTAGAAAACATGCCTGATCCTGAAAAAGCTTTCTCTTCCTCCTAAACACAGCTCTTTCTGGATGTTCAGAAGAGCAGAAAACATGCCTGATCCTGTAAAGTCTTGCTCTCCTTCCTAAACACAGCTCTGTCTTCAGTTGGGGTCGGGAACTGCAGCCCCTCCAGCCAAGCTGCTCCGTTACCCTCAGCTGCATTTGGCTCTAAGGGACCCCATGTGTGCTCCCTTAGCAAAGCCCTGTGGTGTTGCACAACCATAGATAAGTAGTTAAATTCAAGTTTATTCAAGAAGCCTGTAATTAAAGCTGAGTTGTAAATGCCATCTGGATTTTTGTTTGGGTTAGAGATAGTCTTTAGTCTCATGGTAAATTAAGATGTTTCTTGAAAGCAGGTTTTTTGTGAGATTTTTTTTTCCTAAGGGTGTTGTACCTGAACGGAATTTTGTTGCCTCACATATTGACAGAGGACAACACTGTCCACATTGCAGAACCATTGCAGTGCTGTTTAAATGGCACCAAAGCAGACTGAGTTCAGAACTGCAGAGCAGATCTGACATACATGGGGAGAGCTGAATGCAATTTTCCCATTTCAGGAAATCAGACCTATGCTTGTACTAAAGGTTTTCAGAAAGTTCTGCTTGAAGAATAAATAGTACAGATTTGCTGACAAAAACAGAACTTTTCTGACAGAACATGTCTGTAGCCAGTCCTGAACAAGATCCTGGTCACTAACTTGCAGGAAAGTTCAGGTTACAGGTAGATTTTGTGTTCTGTTCCATAAAACAGTAAATTTTAACATAGGAGAAAAGCTACTTTTTATAAAACAACCTTTCTAAAGTAACAAATATGTATAGGAGAAATAGATTCTGGCTTACTTTGAGTACATGATAATAAGGAACAGTTGCATACTTTGAGCTAGTCTATTGCTTAGCCTACAAGAGGCATTTAATAAGCTTTAGATACTGAGAATTTAAATAAATGTCAGTTTTAAGTACAGCTTGCAAAAATTGATAACTGCTTTTCCACTAGCTTTTATTTCAATACAATTATTAACATTGGTATTAGTGCAAGTTATTCTAGCTTTCAATGTAGAAAATGCTATGAACTTTGCCAGGAAAATTGTCTATTTATATTATAATTATTGGAGTGAGTTTTTGTTGTTGTTGAGTTTGGATTTTTTTGGGGGGGGCATTGTGGGGGGTTTTTAATGCACAAGGTTGAAATACTAAATACTCTTAAAGGTAGATAACTTTCCAAATTTATGAGTTTAAAGCAACTCAAAAGTCATTGGCAGAAGAACATCTGCAAAGGTATGTGGTTATTGTTTTTTACCTGAGATACTGCCTTTCTTGGATAGGGTCATTGAAAAGTATGTGGCTATAAAGTGTTTCAAGTATTTTTATATAATCTAGTCATAAGCAATTTTTCTAACTGAAAAAAGTGAATCTGAGCTTATTTTATTTTCAGATTGTTAAGCTATCTTTCTCTTCTACCTTGCTAATGATTTGTAATTACACGGAGCCAACCATGAAAATTATCAATATTTCTGGAAAGATTTCCATAAATGAACTAATAGTGCATGACAGTCACCTAACACACACCTAGCAGTGCTTGCAGGTTTGACTAAGTAATTCAGCTAACAGCAATGTAAAAAATCAATGTATTTGATTCCTGGCTTGATTCAATAGATGAGTAATGCTGGATACAAAGAGCACTGTGAGCATTGCACCACTCTTGGGCAGCTCTTACGAGAAGAGACCAGCTATGTCCTTGAAGTCCTAGGCTGGAATTGATCAACCATTGTGACTTTTAGACTTCAAACTCCCCAAATAACAAACAAAAGGAAAATAAATCCATTTGTCCCATCTTCATGAACTGTGAACAAAAGCCATGCCCACAAAAATTTAAAGGGACTACACAAACATGTGAAATAGACACTGTGTTGGCAGATGGAATAGCAACAGCAGAATTCATCAACCAAATACAGAACTATAACAAAAAATCACGTGTTCAGGGAAATGAGAAAGGGAATATGGCATACCTAACAGAATGGGCCTGATCTCAGCCTTCTGAAGGAATGATTCTGTTTTAAAGCAGTTCAGACTAGATCTGCTCTCCAAACAATTAAATTCTTAACTCACTTCAGCAAGGAAGTGATGTGATAGTTACTATTACACTTTTAAGCACTGAGATTACATAGATAAACTGTTCCAAAATGTGCTGTATGTTCTGTATTCATACGTGCACTACAATTAAAGCAAGTTCTTGTATGGAACTTCTTGCCAGATTGCCAGGGTTAAGCAGTAGCAGCAAATACAGAAGCTTAAAATCAAGGAGTGTAGGGTGCCCAGCTTCAGTGAAGTAAGGCATGGAAAGACAATACAAATCAAAATGAAAGGTTTGAATGTTCTTTTTTTCTTAGTCATAACTCCTCTTTTTGTCATTGAGATTCTCAAGCCTAACAGAATGACTAAGTGAGAAATGCAGTGCTCAGGAGCAGTCATTCCCTCTGCTCTACCCTTTGGGTTTCCTGTTATGTTGCAGAGAATCCAGACTGCTCAAGAACACATTCTTTCTGTGAAACCAAATAGTAGAATGTCTATCACACATCTTTGCTGATTAGTATATAACTGACTCAACTAATAACAGACATTTCCATCATAAAAATACCACAAGACTGAAACAAAGGGAATACCAATTTCTTGGTTTCTTGGTGCCCTGAATTTCTAAATAATTCCCTATGTATATGATACAACACCCTGAAAAGAATTATTACTACTTTCTAATATATTTTTTCTTATGTCAAGGAGCTGTAACAAATACTCACAAAAACATGGGGCAGCCTTCTAGTTCATTTCTTTCTTCAAATTTCTGACTATATATAGATAGATACATAAAAAGCTAAACTGTACTCTCTCAATCCCTGCATTAGCTCTAATAGGAGGATCCAAGAGCTTTTGATTCACAAGCAGGAATGACTTAGATGCCTCTAGTTATTGAAATCTCCTGCAATTACTGAAACAGTCCTCCACAAGCTGAAATCTGATTTGCCTTAAGATAGTAATGGGCTCTAAAATGCAGATGGTTCAGGGACTGCTTCACAACATCTACACAGCAGATGCTCCCCAGAATAAATATATAATTGATAGTGAGCATGTGATTTTTAAGTATTAAGTTTTTAAAGACACATACTAAAACATTCTTTCATCATCTGTGTTTTGTGACTGCCTCTATTTGCTCCCTACCCCTTTGGAGCAAGAACGGATTTTGTAGCATTGATAATACTGAAATTGCTGAAAGCAATTACATGCAGAGAGAAAAGCATCAGAGAGTGACATGCAAGAGAAGTGATTGTGTTTGAACCAGAGAGGAAGAATGTTAAAAACCCCAGATATAGGAAGTTAATAGTTTTATTGCAAGGCATCAATTACTGAAAATTCTGAATGTTTTCTTTCTCTTCTCTCCTGCAGCTCCCTGCTCAGGCAACACTTACTTCTGCCATAGCAACATGTGCATCAATAATTCTTTGGTCTGCAATGGCATTCAGAACTGTGCATACCCTTGGGATGAGAATCACTGCAGAGGTGAATATAGTGCAAACCACAGTCTCTATGAGCTAGGCTGGTCAGTTTGCCTTTCAAGAAAGTCATGAAATGTCTTTTTCCTGGAAATATGCTGAAGACAGCTATTCTGCTAATCTCAGGAAGGTGTTCCAAATTTTTTATTTAAACTCAGGACACATGTAAGCATGCTGAATATTGATCTTACTGCTTTTAACTAAATTTCTTCCTCTTCAGCATATACTCTCTATTTTAAAGGATATCAGCTTGGTAAGAACTAGAATTTAGTATTTTTGAGGCTGCATCCTGTCAATTTCTAAACTTTAATAAAGCAAGGATTGTAGGGATGGGTAATACCTTTTGGAGATAAAGAGCTGAAAAAACACAGAACTAAGTTTTCAAGCACAAAAACCTCTCAGGGTTGAAATTGAAGCAACAATCCACAAAGACAATTCTAAAACATTTGTTTAGAGTTGTAAATCACAGGCTATTTCAGGATAAATTCAGCTGCTGTATATGGTGTGAGAAAGAATGGGAGGAAGGAGGAATTGCTAGGGAGCATGAAATAAACACTTATGGAATACAGACACATGTAAATTGCTGCTTCTAGAACATGGGTTGGGAGTATTATTTCAGTCATCACAACTACAGTAAAGACTTGTTTCAATATCAGGCTTTGTAGGAAAAATTCTCATAATTTGAAGAAATTGTTATTCTGCAAAACACAATCATTCTCCTGTGCTTCAAGAACAGCTCAGTTGTCAGAGTTAGAACAAAACCAGTCTAAGGTCAACAGTTTTTCTTGGTAAAGAAAACAATAGAACAAAAACACTTGAGGTTGTTTGCTTAGGGTTTTTTGATAAATAGAATGGCAACAATAGCTCTGAACACAAAACTCCAGAAGATTTAAATATGTATTCCATTTCAAAGAGAAACTGACCCTGCAGAAAAGGTCAAACCCTTCTCTATAGAAAGTCTTGAAAGAAAATTTCTTTTCAACACAAAAATCTTACTTGCATTTTAAGTAAATAATCATTAAAAAACCCCTACTTGTTAATTGCATTTTGGGTGAACAAAGAAATTCACACCACTAATAGATATTCTAATGTAAGGCA